AATTCATCGGTCAAACAAGAAGTTTTGAGTCAAGTCTAGATAGAGGGAGAAGAGATCAAACAATTGATTTTAGTTATAAATGTACATAGATTTTTAAATATTTCAACGTCTTTTGAGCACATAACTTCACAAAACTTCATAAAATTTGGCTTACAACAAAATTCCTGGCTCAATATTTGTTGTTTAAATATCCTTAAGTATTATTAAATATCATTAAGCATTCTAAAATATAGTGTTTTTCATGTCCTCTCTTTTTACCATCTCAGAATTAACAACGTCGTCCATTTCTTTGTGTATAATTCCATCTGCCTGTTTTGATTGGGAGATCGTGATTTGTTGTTCTAAATTACAGAATCTTTCAAATATATTAATTTTACAATTACTGAGGATAAATACTTGCTATTTTCTCGAGGAATGTATACAATGCCAAATTATATATCTTTATCAAAATTGAAGACAGATGTATTGCATTTGAACCAGAATAAACATTTATATTCTGTGTTACATGTAATTATTTTCATATTTTTGACAATGGAGTCTCTAATTAATAAAGTTATACCACCTGACTTTACTCTAGACTTTACATTTGTTTTTTTTTTTTTTAAATATAGAAAACCCGGGTAATTGCAGAGTTCCATTTTCATCTGTTTTTGTTTCAATTCAACCAATTATTTCGTATGAAGAAATAAAATCAGTAAATTCTCTATATATTGGAGTCTTCTATTTAAACCAAATACATATATATCTGTTTTAGAACTGAGCATCAATTATTGATCACTTCAAAAATAACACACTTATAATGTTAAAGTTTGATTTTAATGTAAATAATTACATTAAAACTTTCTCAGCTTTCTTAGTACAGTGCTAGTCAAAAGTATGTCCAGAATTGTCCCACACTGTTACATTTGTAGCTGTTGTTGACTAAAAAACTAAAATAAAATATAACAATTCTTTGAATACAATTATATATATAACTTGAAACTCATTGCGAGCAATGAGAGGTCTTCCGTCCGATTCTGAAAATAAAAACGAAAATTCAAGCTGAAAAAGTGATAAAAGAAATTCAGACACTCTGGAGATTTAACCCTGGTCGTCGGCGTGAAAATCCAACGTGCTAACCATTAACAATTCACTTTTTTGCATCACATCCTGTCACAACCGGAAGCAACGGCGACACACGATTTTCATACGATGCAAATAAACTGATGACGAACTATCAGTCCAGAAAGTTTTAGACTTCAGTCTTTTATTGTTGCTGAGCAATTTTAAGAAATAACTCTAATTTTGAGGACAGGAAAACACGCGACCGGAAGTGAATTTTATTTAAAAAAAAAAAAAAAAAAAAAAAAACTCTGCCGTGTCTCGAGACATTGCAGTACATGTATCTACAACATGTATTAAAATATTTCAATACTTTTTCTATAACCGATATTTATGAGAAAGTTAAATATCGAAATAACGTATTCTATCTCCTAAAACCGGAAGTTGACGTTTTTGTTTCCTGTGGAGTCTAACATATTTCGAAACAGCGAAAGAGATGCAATAAGGTGATGCAAGTTTTAATTTAAAAAAGAAAAGTTGAAATTTTTTTGATTTTTTTGATCACTTCCTGTGACGACCGAAAGTGACGGCTGACAGTTTAACCCAAATGGTTTTGCCTACTCTTCAGGATCTATTACTCAAAGAAGTTTGGTGTCTTAATCTCTTACCGTTTCTGAGATCTCGCTCAGATATTTTCTCATTTTGAGAACAGGAAAACACGCGACCGGAAGTGAATTTCTGCAAAAATATTTGACGTTACTCTAGACATTTGCAGTCTGAATAACATATCCAAAAATCATTTGAAATACTTTATGTATAAAAGATATTTATGAAAAAATAAAATACCAAAATTATGTAGTTTTTCTCTTATAACCGGAAGTTGTCGTTTTTGTTTCCGGTGGGACCAACATATTTCGAAACTGCGAAAGAGTTGCAGTAAGATGATGCAAGATTTGATTAAAAAAAGAAAAGTTGAAATTTTCGATTTCTTTGATCACTTCCTGTGACGACCGGAAGTACTGACGACTCATAAAAAAATCGTTCCACAAATCTACAACTCATTCTCTTTTATCTTTGACAAGTCTCCAGTTCCTCTCTTTAGCCACTCTTGAGAAAATTAGCGGACAACTTTTCATTTTAAAATCAGGAAATTGCCCATTACTTGGAACCAGGAGGGAATTTTCCAAATTTTTTGGGCCATGCCACAAGAGCATATCATTGCTCACAAACGCTGAAAGTTTCACAGAAGATCACTGAATAGTATTCGAGATATCGCGTGCACAAAATTTTGTCTAAAAAATAATAATAATAACTAGATGCGTTTCTTGTTGCTAGGGCAACAAGTGGTCTTCCGACCGAACTTTTCTCCAAAACGCTATGCTATCTCACTTCATTTAATACTTTATTGAAGGTATATTTCGTTTACGTTTATGTAACACAGTCTTTCAACATAGATCATAATTATCAAAGGATTTCTGTAGAATCTCTGTAAACAAAGCTTTAAAAAATAAGCAAAAACTATCATACATATCTTCACGGAGAAAAATATTATTTTCAACTGAAAAAAGAGAGAAACAATCTCCCGCCCAAGCAGGATTCGAACGCGCAACATACGAGAAAGTTTGGATCGGTCATATCTTTGCAATAAATGCATCAATCAAAATGATGAAAATATACATAGAACTCTTAAAAGACTCTCTATTAGTCCTGTAAATTTCAAAGAAAAATATTGAAAAACAAAAAAGTTGCAAATTTAACATTTTTGAATTCACTTCCGTTCGCGACCGGAAGTACGAACGACGAAAAATAAAGGTCGATCACCATATCTCCATTTAATGTTCTATCACGTCAGTGAGTTTCACTTTCATATCTTTAGCCGTTCTCCAGAAAATTAACGGACAAAATTCCATTAAAAAAAACAAATTTCCCAAAAAATCGCGAACGGAAGTGATTTTTCAAAAAATGAAAAACAAGTCTGGAGATATTTTCACGATGCATCTTCCCTGAAAAAATCTTTGAAATCCGTCCACTCACAGCTGAGATATCGGTCGTACTATGAAAAAAGAATAATAATAATAACTAGAAACTCGTTGCCATGGCAACAAGAAGGTCTTCCGTCCCTTCTCTGTCATCAGACGTCATAGGAGAATTCATTCCTCACTTAAAACACACTATGTATTACCTTTGTGCAATCCTTTTAACTCCTTCGTATAAAGAATATATTAAAATTTAAAGAGTGTGAAAATATCCAAAATTCAAACAGCAATAAATACCAGACAACACTTTAAAAATAAAATCGAAAATTTAAGCTAAAAAAAGTGATGAAAAATTTCAGACATTCGTGAGATTGAACCCGACTCGCCTGCGTGAGAGGCACGACGCTAATCACTATGCTATTGGGGACGCACGCTTTGAGAGGAAAAGTGACTAATATCTGGAATAAGGATTTATTAATTTTGAAATAAAGTATATATTTAGCATTCAGGTAAGACTTTCTAATATCCTTACTGAAATCATTAAAAAATATTGAAAAGAAAAAAAAATTGAAAACCGATTCTCGAAATTCGCTTCAGATGGTGACCGGAAGCATCGACGACGCATTAAAAATTAACTAAACATTTACAAGTCATCATCTAAGATCTCTGATATGTCTTACATTCACATCTTTAGCCGTCCTGGAGGAGTTTGGAAGACAAAAATCCATTTTAAAATCAGGAAATTGTCCATATCTTGGAACAGGAAGTAAATTTTCCAAAATTTCTTTGTGATAAACAAATTTATCATTGTCCATTACCTATGAAAATTTCACTGAAATCCATTTTTCGAGAAATCGCCTACACAAATATGTGGGAATAAAAAGAATAATAAAGAGATAAATTGATTTTAAATCAAATTATTTATTTTTTCTCAAATGAAAGTCTCTATTATCAATACTCATATCATTAAAAAAATTGGAAAAAACAAAAAGTTTGAAAAAATTGACTTTTGAAGTTTGCTTCCGGTGGCGACCGGAAGTAATGACGACGCCAAAAAAATGACTTTGAACATCTACAACTCATGCTCTATCATCTTTGACATGTCTCAAGTTCATATCTTTAGCCATTTTGGAGGAGTTGCAAAAACAAAAATCCTCTTTAAAATCAGGAAATTGTTTATAACCTGGAACCTGAACGGAATTTTCCAAATTCTTTGTGATGAACAAAGTTCATATCATTGCCCATTACCTCTTAAAGTTTCATTTAAATCCAAAAAAAAAAAAAAAAAAATTCTTTTTGAGAAATCGCTTGCACGAATTTTTTTTTTTTTTTTTTTTTTTGGGGGGGGGGGATAATACCTGGAATATGGATAAATTAAGCTTAAACCAAATTATATATTTAGATTTCAAATGAAAGTCTCTATTATCCCTACTAATATCATTAAAAGAATTGGGAAAAAAAAGTTGGAAAAAATTGACTTTTGAAATTCGCTTCCGGTGGCGACCGGAAGTTATGACGATGCCAAGAAAAAAAGACTTTGAAATCTACATCTCATGCTCCATTATCTTTGACATGTCTCCAGTTCATTTCTTTAGCTGTTCTGGAGGAGTTGTGAAAACAAAAATCCATTTTAAAATCAGGAAATTGGCCATAACATGGAACCGGAAAGGAATTTTCTTAATTTTCTTTGTGATCAACAAAGATAATTCCATTGCCCATTACCTCTTAAAGTTTCACTGAAATCCAATAAATACTGTTTGAGAAATCGCCTGCACAATTTTTTTTTTGGGGGGGGGGTAATAACTGGAATATGGATAAATTAATTTTAAACCAAATGATATATTTAGTTTTCAAATGAAAGTCTCTATTATCCCTACTAATATCATTAAAAGTATTGGTAAAACCAAAAAGTTGGAAAAATTGACTTTTGAAATTCGCTTCCGGCGGCGACCGGAAGTAATGACGACGCCCAAAAAAAATAACGTTGCAGATCTACAACTTATGCTCTATCATCTTTGACATGTCTCCAGTTTATACCTTTAGCCGTTCTTGAGGAGATGCGAAGACAAAAATCCATTTTAAAATCAGGAAATTGGCCATAACTTGGAACCGGAAGGGAATTTTCCAAATTTTCTTTGTGATGAACAAAGTTCATATCATTGTCCATTATCTCTGAAAGTTTCACTGAAATCCAGTGAATAGTGTTTGAGAAATCGCGTGCACAAATTTTTGGAAAAAAAAGAATAATAATAATAACTAGATGAGATCTCGTTGCGAGCAACGAGTGGGTCTTCCGTCCGATTTTTGATGAGATAAGAATTTGACTGAGATATTCGTTCAAATATAATGATATAAATAAATTGTTAAGACGAACAATTTTGCTTTAATAATGTTTTACAAAATATTGATCATTAAAGGAATATAGATTAAAGACTTTCACCCCCTCTTGGCCCCTAATGTGAGAGGTCAGCCCTTTTTTTCTTGATATCATTTTAGAGCTCTCATGATTTTAAACACTTTTTGTTCAACAACTAGTCAGAAATTCTTTTTTTTCTTTCGGGATACATACAAAAGAAATATTGAAGGCCAGCCCTTCAAGTCCTAAATGGGGACGTCTAGCAAAAATTGAAAGAGTGCATATTGTTCAGAATATTATTTTGATCGTCTTTTGTTCAATACTGTTTGTAAAAATATTCTTCCTTTTCGAGATATATTGCGCCATAGATTATGCAATCTGGCCCCCTAAGGACCCCTTACTGCGTAATATATGATATCAACATCATGTTATTTAGATAAAGTGTGTGAAGATGTACAATTTCGCTTCAGTAATATATTACAAAATATTGATCATTAAAGAGTTATTGACTGTATACTTTCGGCCCCTCTCAGCCCCTTATTTAATGGGTCAGACCCTTTTCCTTGATATCACCTTAAAGCTCTCATGATTTTGAACACTTTTTGTTCAAGAATTATTCAAAAATTCTTTTTCGTTTCCGGGATATATCCGAAGGATATATTTAGGGGCCGGCCCTTCAACTTCTTAATGGGGACGCTTAGCAGAATATGAAAGGTTGCATATTGTTTAGAACATTATTTTAAACATCTTTTGTTCAATATTGCTTATCAAAATATTTCCCACTTTTGAGATATAAAGCGTCAAAGATTTAGCATTCTGGCCCCTTATGGCCCCTAATGATGAAACATATGATGTGAATATCATAATATATAGTTGTAATTTGTTGAGTTGAACATTTTTGCTTCAGTAATCCATTACAAAATATTGATCGTTAAAGAGTTATTGTTCAAAGACTTTCGGCCCCTCTCAGCCCCTTTTTTGAGGGGCCAGCCCCTTTTTCTTCATATCACTTTAAAGCTCTCATGATTTTGAAAACTTTTTGTTCAACAACTACTCAGAAATTTTTCTTCGTTCCTGAGATATTTGCAAAGGAAGTATTTAGGGGCCAGCCCTTCAACTCCTTAATGGGGACGTTTAGCAGAACATGAAAGGTTGCATATTGTTTAGAACATTATTTTGAACATCTTTTGTTCATATTGCTTATCAAAATATTTCCCACTTTTTGAGATATAAAGCGTCAAAGATTTAGCATTCTGGCCCCTTATGGCCCCTAATTATGTAACATATGATGTGAATATCATAATATATAGTTGTAATTTGTTGAGTTGAACATTTTTGCTTCAGTAATCCATTACAAAATATTGATCGTTAAAGAGTTATTGTTCAAAGACTTTCGGCCCCTCTCAGCCCCTTTTTTGAGGGGCCAGCCCCTTTTTCTTCATATCACTTTAAAGCTCTCATGATTTTGAACACTATTTGTTCAACAACTATTCAGAAATTCTTTTTCGTTTCCGAGCTATATGCAAAAGATATATTTAGGGACCAGCCCTTCAACTCCTTAATGGGGAAGTTTAGCAAAAATTGAAAGGTTAAATATTGTTTAGAACATTATTTTGAACATCTTTTATTCAATATTGCTTATCAAAATATTTCCCACTTTCGAAATATAGAGTGCCAAAGATTTGGCATTCTGGCCCTTTATGGCCCTTAATTATGTAAAATATGATATATATATTATAATATATGGTTGTAAATTGTTAAGATAAACATTTTTGCTTCAGTAATGTACACCAAAATATTGATCGTTAAAGAGTTATTGATTTAATACTTTTGGCCCCTCTCGGCCCCTAACATGACAACCCAGCCCTTTTTTCTTGATATCATATTAAAGATCTTGTCATTCTGCACAAATATTGTTCAGTATGTTTTTACAAAATAATTATACTTTAAAAGATATGATACAAAATGTCTCAAAAATTCACTCATGATTCGTGTCCTAAATTTCGACCCCTACCGAGCTTCCATACTAAGCAGTTCCGGAAAATATCCAAACCCAGGTGCAAAATGGCAACATGTCCTCTATCATCACTGAAAATTTCAGCGCTCTAGCTTTAGCCGTTTTTGAGTTCCATCACAGACAAGGAAGTCCTCTGAATTTTAATAAAAGGGCGATAACTCTCGACCGGAAGTAAATATCCCTTAACAGACTTGCCGGAATTAACTTCAGATGTCAACACATCTACCTTGAAAATTTGAATAAAATCGAACGAGCCATCTCCGAGAAATCCTCTGCACAATTTTTGTAAGGAGAAAAAAGAATAATAATAATAACTAGATGCGATCTCGTTGCGAGCAACGAGTGGGTCTTCCGTCCGATTTTTGATAAGATGAGATACGAATTTGACTGAGATTTTCGTTCATAAATATATAAATAGTGAAAACGTATAATTTGCTTCAGTTATGTTTAACAAAATTTTGATCATTATGACACCTAAAAACGCAATGTTTGATGAAGATTTTAAAATATTTATAGTAGCAGATCGTGAAGATGAACATTACTGTAAAAGGGTTATAGATAAAAGACTTTTGGCCCCTCTGAGCCCCTAATTTGAGGGGTCAGCCCCTTTTTCTTGATATCACATGAAAGGTCTTGTAATTCTGAAGACTTTTTGTTCAACAGCTATTCAGAAGTTTCGTTTCGTTTTCGAGATATGTAGACTTGAAATATTTAGGGGTCGTCCCTTTAAGTCCTTATAGGGGCTGTTTTGGAAAAATTAAAAGGATGCACATTGTTGAGAACATCATTCTAAACAACTTTTGTTCAATATTGCTTTTCAAAATGTTTCCCCTTTTCGAGATATAAAGCGTCAAAGATTAAGCATTCTGGCCCCTTATGGCCCCTAATTATGTAACATATGACATAAATATTATAATATGTAGTTGTAAATTGTTAAGCTAAACATTTTTCCTTCAGTAATGTATACCAAAATATTGATCGTTAAATAGTTATTGATTTAGTACTTTTGGCCCCTCTCGGCCCCTTATACGATAAGACAGCCCTTTTTTATTGATATCATATTTAAGATCTTGTCATTCTGCACAAATATTGTTCAGTATGTTTTAGCAAAATAATTATACTTTAGAAGCTATAATACAAAATGTCTCAAAAATTCACTCATGATTCGTGTCCTAAATTTCGACCCCTACCGAGCTTCCATACTAGGCACTTCCGGAAAATATCTAAACACAGGTGCATAATGGCAACATGTCCTCTATCATCACTAAAAATTTCAGCGCTTTAGCTTCAGCCGTTTTTGAGTTCCATCACAGACAAGGAAGTCCTCTAAATTTTGATAAAAGGGCGATAACTTCCAATCGGAAGTAAATATCCCTAAACGGAATTGCCGGAATTAACTTCAGATATCAACGCATCTTTCACCAAAATTTGAATAAAATCGAACGAGCCATCTCCGAGAAATCGTCTGCACAAATTTTGTAAGAAGAAAAAAGAATGAAAATAATAATAATAATAACTAGATGAGATCTCGTTGCGAGCAACGAGTAGGTCTTCCGTCCGATTTTTCGATAAGATGAAATATAATTTTGACTATGATTTTTGTTAAAAGATAATAATATATATAGACTTCCCTAATTAGATTTCAATCCTTTTATTTATATACATTTTCAAAGAGCTATCGATGAATTGCTTTTGGCCCCTCTGAACCCCTAGTTTGAGGGGTCAGCCCCATTTTCTTGATATCAATTGAAAGGTCTTGTGATTTTGAAAACGTTTTGTTCAACAACTGTTCAGAGATTTCTTTTCTTTGTGGAAATATGCTGAATGGAAATATTTAGGGGCCACCCCTCCAAGTCCTTAATGGGGCCGTTTGACAGAAATTGAAAGGGTGCATATTGTTTAGAACATTATTCTGACCATATTTTAATCAGTATTGCTTATCAAATATTCCCCCTTTTCGAGATATAAAACATCAAAAATTTAGTATTCTGGCCCCTAGTGACCCCTTATTACATAAAATATGATCAGAATCTTATCATATATTGTTGTAAATCGTTAAGATAAGCATCTTTGCTTCAGTAGTGTATTACAAATTATTGATCGTTAAAGAGTTATAGGTTGAAGACTTTTGGCCCCTCTGAGCCCCTAGTTTGAGGGGTCAGCCCCATTTTCTTGATATCAAATGAAAGATCTTGTGATTATGAAGACTTTTTGTTCAACAACTATTCAGAGATTTCTTTTCGTTGTGGAGATATGCTGAATGGAAATATTTAGGGGCCACCCCTCCAAGTCCTTAATGGGGCCGTTTGACAAAAATTGAAAGGGTGCATATTGTTTAGAACATTATTCTGACCATCTTTTGTTCAAAATTGCTTATCAAAATATTCCTCCTTTTCGAGATATAAAGTGTCAAAGATTTAGCATTCTTGCCCCTTGTGACCCCTTATTATGTAACATATGATCAGAATCTTATCATATATTGATGTAAATCGTTAAGATAAGCATCTTTGCTTCAGTAATGAATTTCAAATTATTGATCATTAAAGAGTTATAGGTGAAAAACTTTTGGCCCCTCTGAGCCCCTAATTTGAGGGGTCAGCCCCATTTTCTTGATATCAA